TTGCCGCGCCGATCTTCCTTTATTATTCTTCTTGTCCTTTCTTGACCGCAAATCACCGTGATTCCAGATCCAATCTGGAGAGGTTTCCTTCTTGTTTTCAAACCTGATTTCGTGGCAGGGGCTAGGCTTGACGGTAGGAAGTTGCTTGAGGGGCTGTGTTGCGACGTTGTTAGGTGGGGGCTGGGGTGCGTCTTTGCTGGGCGGGGCTGGCAAGGGTGCTGGGGCCTAGGTTGTGGATTGGCTGGTGAAGGAGACTAGTCACGCCGGTGCCCATGGTGGTGCTAACTAGTCAGAGAGGCCTGGGGGAGGATATGGGCGTAACAGGGGAGCAGGGTAGTGGGCGGCATTAGTGGATGGCCTGGTTGGGGTCGGCGGCGCAGGGGGCTGGGATAGTTTGGGAGGGGGCTGGGAAGGTCGGGGAGGGGCCTGGTATGGTTGAGGATGGGGCTGGTAAGGTTAGGGGTGGTAAGGTTGGGGTGGCAGGCCGGGTTGGGGGTGGTGCATCGACGTTGGTGTGGGGTGAGCAGAGGCGGTGACGGTGGTGTTGGGCAATTGAATGGCAGGGGCGGACGGCGGCAGCAGTCAATGCCCGGGGGAGGCAGTGACTGGCGGCGGCAGCAGTCACCGAGCGGTGGTGGTGGCACCCACTAGTCTGGGTAACCTGCAGCGGTGGAGGTGGTCGGCGGTGGTTATTGGAAAGGGTAAATGTGGCTCATGTCACTGCGGAGGTGTCACTTTAGATGTGTCACTGTGGTGGTTGACGGTCACTGGCCGGAGGCAGTTACCGGTGGGGTGGGGGAAGCAATAACTGGTCGGTGGAGTGGTGGCAGTCATTAATCGGGGTGCGGCAGCAGTCACTATGGCGGGTAGGCGGCGGTCACTGTGGCCAAGGACTTGGCTACTTTGGCCGGAGTCACTGTGGCGGCGGGTCACTGTGACGGCGGGTCACTCTGGGCCCTGTGGCGGCTGGTCACTGTGGCGGTTGGTCACTGTGGCGGTTGGTCACTGTGGAGGCGAGTCACTGTGACGTCGAAGTCAGTTTCATTGAAGTCACTTTGCATTGTAGGGGTTAATAGTCACATTTTTAGAATTTTGGAAAAGATGTAACATTTTTATCTTTTGTCTTTTTTTTAGTAATATTCAAATAAAAAGGCCAAAACGAAAATATGATAAATGAGTACTCTCTCTGTCCCTTATAACTTTGCCAACTTTCCTTTTTTGGTTGTCCCAAAAACTTTGCCACTTTCCCTTTTAATCAATCAATTTGTGGTTCCTGTTATTTCTCTCTCCTCTGCACAAATATCTACCACACAGTTTTTACTTTATTATTTTACGTGCCGGTCAAACTTGGCAAACCTTTAAGGGACAGAGGGAATAATTTTTACTTTAGATGATTCATTGCAATGTCATTTGAGACTTTTTTTAACAAACCATCTTGGGATATTTTATTAAAGAAGTTGTTGGGCCGCGGGTATGCGGTACCAGCAATCTGCCAGCCTACCAGTGCAATCGAATCGCGTGGTGCTTTCCATGTGCTATAAATGTGGAGGGGACGTGCTATAAGTAACCTCGAATTACAAGTTGCGTTGGTCTTGGTAACTAGAAAAAATAAAAATAAAGCTTATGTGTCAAGATAGAGAGAAGTGTCATCCTAACGAATGTAATAAAAAAGGTAGATGCCAAATTGAGTTGTCCAATGTCCAGTGAATGGGGCTTCATTCCTTCTGCACGGACAGGAACAGTCCGAATTCATCTGCCCAGCCCGATTAAAAGACGTCTCTAGATGCCCAGGTCGTCTCGAGATATTTTCGGCTTGCGAACTCCACCGATGCGGGTTGGAGCCAGGGATGGATCCAGAATTTCTATTCAAGGGGGCGAAATTTTTCGGTAGTGTAGGGGGTGAAAAAATTTTCGTTAGTGTAGTGAGCAAAATTTTTTCCCTAGTGTAGCGGAGCGAATTTTTTCCGCTACTGTAGGGCTATGCGGCTAATTTTATTCAAAAAATGACATTAATACATACACATCCCAACGACATTTAAATCTGTTAAGTAGTACATTCTAAGTTTAAATTAGACGATGACAAAGACATCAACCAAGACATTTTTAATAACTTCTACATTGTTTAACCTCATGAATCGGTTATTATTGAATTGTAATTTTTGTCCGGCCACCAAGGAGGGTGTTCGTGAGTCATGACTCATGAGAAGTTTTCTTAATATTACAATAGTAGTATGTATGATATTATTATTTTTAGAATAATATGCACCACATACACACACACATATATGGTGCATATTATATTTTAATATTTGTATTAATGCTATAATAATTTAAAGTTTATTATCTATGCAATAAATTATTTTTAGAAAGCAAGAAGTAAATGAATTATGTAATTTAATGTCAATAAACATTTATATTTTGGATTCATTTCACGTGATATAAAAACTGTGTAATTAGTGTGTCTGATATTTAATATTGTTTGATATACGGAGTATATTTTACAAAATCAAGTACTTGTTATCTAATAAAGATAAATAAACACTACAAAACTAGGAATTCTTATATAATAAATATCATAAATCTTAAACAACGAGTTATTCCATTGTTTATTTGTTTAAGTTATGTAATTATTTTAGATGTTCCTTCTTTTAAATCTTCAATTAAGTATTACATTATGTAACACTATATATTAATTTTGAAAATTAAAAGATAAGGGGGCGAATCTAATTAAATTATGAAAGTTTTATGAAAATATTACATATATGGTAGAAAATTTTGAAAGTCTAAGGGGGGCGGTCCCCCCGCGCCCCCTCCTAAATCCATCCCTGGCTTGGAGCTAGAGAGCGTGAAGGTTATCCAGCGTCGCGGAAGAAGGTACCGCCGTGGAGGTCGTCGTAGTAAGCCTTTCGCGCAGCCAGAGGTAACGTGTCCTCTTTGTAGTGTACTGTTTCCGTGGTTCGCAGAGCTTCTTGTGCAATGTAGTGAGCTGTTTGGTTACTCTCCTTGTAGGTGTGGACGATAATTGCCCGAAGTTTGTCATGCAGGGATGTGATGCGCCAGATCTCGTTTTGTAGATGAAGAGGTGTCATTTGAGACTTTCGTAGACATATTTGGATTTATGTAAATATATGAGATTTTAGGAGACATATGGGTTTAGCTAGATTTGTGTGAATTTCTACATGAGACATATTCAGACATACATGGACTTTATTTATTTACCTTAAAAATAAATATAGTTAAATAAATAGAGAAGTGTCTTTAATGTTAATTTTTTCATACTAACAAAGTAACAAGACCTCCCGTCTTGGCCAGGCATGGACCGGGCCCGGCCTGACCAGGCCTTTTGGGAGATAGTTGAGGCCCGGAACCGGCTTGGTTATCCACCGGGTTTGGACCTGGCCGGGCCTCGGACCAATTCCTTTTTTTTTGCTTTTATAATTAACCCCCGACCCCCCCCCCCCCCCCTCTCCCAAACTACCCAAAACACCCAGCCCAACCCGGGAAAATAAAAAAAAAAAATTAAAAAGAAAAAGCCCGAACTGGGCCCAGCCAGGCCGGTTCCTAATTTGGGTGACCCGAGCCCGCCCAACGTAACCTCCGGGCCGGGCCTACCCGAACCGGGCTCTGGTGGGTCACTGGGCCAGGCCGGTTCCAAACAGTGCCGGGCGGGGCCGGGACTCGGGCCGGGCGGCCCGAAATTGGTCCATCACTAGTCTTGGCCGAAGACAACCCACGGCAAGGATTTGATCCCCTTCGTCAACAACCCCTGTAGACTCATAGCAATAAGTACACTGTAATGAAAATGAGTACTAGATCAATCGTAACCCTTTCATGGCCAACTGGAACATATTGCAGAAGATTTAAAGCAATCAAGATAATAATTGATGATAAGCTTTACACTCAGAAACCATTGGAGCCATAGCTCGAAAACATGAAGATCGTAAGAGAAGGGATGGTCCTGAAGCCCTAGAATAGGCGGCAGCAGTGCAGTTCTTCACTTTTCAAGCAAATCCCAAATCTCATGTTACGAGGTGAGATTGAGATGTGGGATTTCTTCTTATAGTTAGCCTATAGAGTCCCGATAAATCCAAGTCTAGGGGTGGACTCGGGCCGGGCCAACCGGCCCGGAACCGGACCGGCCCGCTACTGTGCGGGCCCGGACCGGCCCGGTCAACCGGTTGGTCAACCGGTTCGGGCCACCCGGCCCGGAGGGATACCGGTTCGGGCTCGGGCCCTGATTTTGGCGAACCGGCCCGGCCGGTTCGGGCCCGGTCCGGGCCGGATTTTTTTTTTTTTTTTTTTTGAAATTTTTTTAAATTTTGGGTTGGATTAGGTATTTTGGGCCATTTGAGATGGTTTGGGGTAGTTTGGGGTTGAGGGGGAGGGGTAGGGGGTTAAAAATGAGAACCAAAAAAAAAAAAAAATAAGTTGGGCGGTTCGGCCCGGCCCGGCCCGGTTTGGCCCGGAACCGGAACCGGAACCGCCCACCGGCGGTTCGGGCCCGGGCCCTATTTTTCTGGCCCGAGGCCCGGCCGGGCCCAGGCCCGAACCGGGCCCGAACCCGCCCGAGTCCACCCCTATCCAAGTCCAGAACACAATCCCAAGTATTTTGTCTAATATGAATACCACCAGACTTTTTTAGATTTGCAAAATGTCCTAAAATGACTTGGTTGAATACACCCAGATTTTTGAAATCTTAAAAAGTCTAGAAAAGTCTCCTTAAATACACCCCCCTAAAACCACTTCTGCAGAAAGGCACAAAGAATCCCATTTTCATGAGATGTATGCTAATTAAATGAAAGGAAATTCCATTCTGAAACTAAAGAGATATACTCCGTATGAAATAATGGTTTTTTGTGAAAACCTTTTAAGGGAGGAGAATGGAAGTGCTGTCATAACCCCTCTTAGTTTCCATTATCATTCCAGAAGACATACAGGGAGGGCATACATGCTGACATACCATTTATTTTTTGCATTGAGGACGGTAACACCCCATCATAGGTGGGAGAGCCTTTGTGGCACAGGGGTGATGATGACAACGACGACATTAACTTCTCACTAATTGTTTTTGTATAATAACAAAAAAATCAGTATACGAACATGAAAAGTTACCATGTATCCTACTCTAATACCTATCTTGAAAATGTTATAAAAAGATTAACAAAAATCAATCAAAATAAATATACTGACTTAACTTGGAAATTATAAATATAATGACTTAAATGAATTAATCATGTATCCCGCTGGAACCCCTGTTGGAAATCAGAAGCTGCACACGCGATGGTAGTCAATCTCCCTTCTTCGCTAACCAAAGGACGCCACACCAAAGGACGGCAGAGACTCAAACCCCTATATCAGGGAGATGCCCGTGTAACTTCTTCAAAGGATTAAAGCCTCTTACTTGAGATTATAACCATGGTAAGTTTGGTAATAATACAGTTCATTTAAAATTCATATAAAAGAGAACATGTCCTAATATTAATGCTATATACAATTCTTATAGGGCAATTTCCTATCAAATAAGGCAGTTCGCGAAACTAGTGATTATATATAAGCCAAAAGGGGGCAGGAGGGACAAGATCAGAATGGAGAGAAGTAAGAAGAGAGCAGGGAACTATCTGATGAGTGGTTCCATCTTTCACACTGAAATAGCCAATATCATAATAATTAAACCTAATTCCGAATCGCATCTTATCATTTGTGTAGTAAATGCGATTTCCTTTTGTGTCTGGGAAACCATGGGGTAGCAAACATGCCGAAGAATTAAGTCCAAGCATCAAGACATAATCTCCCAAATCGTTCACCCTAGACCATCCCTCATTGTTAATAGTATCATCATCTATTCTCTTGAACATGTCAAATTTAGTGGTCCGATAACCCTCCAGATGCCTTACTACCAGTATCACGCTATATTGCGGGGTATGAACCACATACATGTAGTTCCTTAGAGGGTGAAAGTAGTCCCTGACTACAATAGGTGGTGCAGCCTTACTCACCACATTACCTGATTCAGGGTCAATTACACACAACTCCACAAAAGTGTTCACGGCATAGATCATCATCTTCTTATTTCCTGGTCTATGAAATATGGCATCCCGGTATACAGGTTTTGCAGAATTATTGGATCCAATATCGACCCATTTATCACTGCCACCAATTTGACAATAAGCCAACCTGCCAAAAGTACCATAAAGAATCATAGCCCCCGCCATAAAACCTTCATCCTGCTGAGGAGCAGAAGACAAAACAATCTTAGAGAAATAGTATTTATGCATCCATGCCTGGGGCCAAACAACAGGGTGATACCCATCGCCAATTTCATTAAGGCGTTCCTTGACGGTGTATTCCTTGTTATGATTTCCTGGGTCATAGAGAATTATCTCTGGAACTGTTGACACTGGTGGAAGTAGTCCGCTGACCTGAGCTCTTGTAAATGGATTGAGCATTTCAATTTCTCCATCTTTAATTCCAATTGTGACCAACCAATTCCCATATGACCCTCTGACCACCTTATTGCGCATACCCTCCACCATTTTGGAGGAATACAGTTTCTCCTCCCCAACACTATAGAAAGGATTACCCTCATAGACGAACCCCAGCCATAGATTTTTTAAATGCTTTGGATACTTTGGGAGTTTAAGTTTCCATTCTTTACAAACTGCTTGCATCCTAACATAGTCATCATAATGATCAACATGCTTCCCCACTGCACGTAATAGGTCGATATGAAGATCAGCCCAAGCATCATCATCAATATCTTTATTCCTCCGTTTACTCATCATCATGATAGTCCTTACCTATTAAAATTTAAAAAACATATTAACAGAACAAATCAGTACTTTTTATAACTAACAATATGTCAATATTAGTGAGAAAAATATACTTTGATCTCATTACTAAGTTACTAACTAGTAACTATAGGAGATCACAAAACTAGTCATACTATATGCTTAAACATCTCAAGCCTATATTTGTTTTAAATGTGAAGTATTTGTTGACTTTGTGTGACAGCACTGTGCAAACTGAAGATCCAAGTGACATATACACTATTAAATTAAAAAAATGCCGGAATTGCATTCTAAGAGTTAAAGTAAAAAAACTCATCCATTAACATTTTCATATAAAAATGGTGTTTTATATAGATTAACAACATCCTCGTGTCAGCACATACTCATAGTTGCAACTGGTAAAGAATAAAAACAAAAATAATGGGGACACCCCAAAATGATAAACACAAGTTCAATTTCTAACTACCACAATAAGATCTCGTCCCTCTATGTATAACGCCATAAAGTATCAAGTAGACTGTATTAAAATTTGGGGTTCCATTTCACTTAGAATTATCTTAAAATTCGTGTGAGCTTTAGAGTCTCAGTCAGTCGTTGACTTGTATGAGTACTGTTTTGGACAATTAAGCCAAAAAAATCTAATGCCATATCAAGACTTGTAGCTGTGTCCAATAAGAGTACTCAAAATCGATAAATAATGATATTTTTAACTGAACTGATTTCAGTCACATACCAAACCAAAGAGATCGAACCGGACCAGACTTAAAACAATTGTTAAAAAAGAAGATATACAGCACATATTTGTCAAACCAAATCAGACTTAAACATACTAAGCCATAAAATTTCAGTCCAATCAATAAGTTATCCATATTTTATATTCTACTAGTAGCCAGTAGAGTTACTTGATTCTGCCTGTTCTCAATTTACCCCTCTCAACTAAAGTGTCCTAGCCCCAGAGCATCCGAGTGCATATTTTTTTTTAAAAAGGACGGAAAAATATTCGAGCAAAGAAATGTAAACAGAGACTTAAAAGTCCATTGCAGTCTGCCGTCTATTACTTTAGCAAATTTATCAATAAGGGAACTAATATCTATTGACTATTGTACTATAATGTCAAAATATGTAATTTTTTAATAAATAATAATAATAACAAGAAAATCTAAAATAAAAGTAAAGAAACAATTTAAATAATTTAATTTTTAATTTGGAGGCAGAAATCACAATTCCTACAACTACAACCTAAGAAGTAAAAACTGATCGGATAAAACAAAAGTTCTTGAACACATTACAATTAAAACAGTCTTACGCGCTTACACTATGACATACGAAGTATTCAATTTACTAGCAATTAGCAACACAATAGTTAATACTCAATAACAAAAATCACGAACCATATACTCCGTACAATAATACAAATTAGTAAATTATGTAAGAAATTAGGGTCAGCAATAAAACCTTAAAAATTAAAATTGCAGAGATAATTGGAGTTGTAAAAGGCCAAGAGGTTGGCGTCCCGGACTGGACCGCAGCGTGGGCGTATCCGGCGTCGCTGAATCGGCGGTGTCCCGGGCTGGCGGAGTGGCGGACCTGAGTCCTGATTAGAGAACTGAGATTGTCGACGACGTTGTCGACAGAGTTGAGGATGGCCGTATGTTGAGGATGTTTTTACTTGTTGTAAAAATACTTCTCCCTCGGTCCCATTTTGGGAAGACGTTTGTAATCAAAGTAAGATTGAAGTTACTTTTTTAGTTGTATTGGCTGAAATTATTGTAGACGACTATTTAAACTATTTTTACATATAATTTTTTTTTATTTAATTAATAAAATATGTAGTATATTCTAAAAATAATTTTTTCTTAAATCAGCAGAATCAGCCAATGCAGTCACTTCAACTAGAACTTCAAAAATTTCAGCAGAATCAGCCAAAACAGCCGATTTTCGTGCTACCAAACGAGTTCTACATTCCTATTTCCTTTTCGGGTTATCCCAAAATAAATGTCTCCTTTCTTTTTTTGAAAAGAAATATATGACCTACACTATTTCACTTTATTATACCCAAAAGAAGACTATGAGTGGCATGTGGGCGACTCAAGTAGCCACGTGCGTTTATTATGATGATGATGGTAGGTGAAGTCTTCTCCCAGATAGGCTGGTGCATGCATACGATTATAACGAGCAAAACTCACGTTTACATATGGATCTTCTTCATCGACTACCTTTATATTTTGTATACTCCATAGTATAATGTGCCATAGTTTTTTATGGGCATGATGGATTGACTTGAATTTGTTTCAGTTTTTCAGATAGTCATTTGGACAGAGAAGTGTACATGAAAATTGTGATGTATATGGCAAAAACTCCAATTATCAAATTGCAATGAGAGTATGGATGGACAGGGTCCGGGTTGGGCTTTGGACGGGAGTGGGTTTGGGAACTGGAGGCCTGGTTAGTGATGGACCGGTTCCGGAACGACCGGCCCGACACTATTTGGAACCAGCCCGGCCCGGTGGCCCAACCAGAGACCGGTCCGGGTAGGCCCAGCCCAGGAGTTACATAGGGCGGGCTCGGGTCACAAAAAATAGGAACCGGCCGGGCCTGGTTCGAGCCAATTTTTTTTCCAATATTTTTTGTTAACTAGAAAAGCAAAAGAGCAATATATATATATATATATATATATATATATATTGGTTTTTCTTATTAATTCATATCCCCCAACTGCCTAGCACCCAATCCATTCAAGGAAAAAAAAAACATTTTGGGCCCAGACAGGTTCCGGACCGGTCGGGCCAGTCCGACCAGGCCCAGTCCATGCCTAAATGAGAGAAATAGTACTCTATAATTTAAATCCACTGTTGGGATTCTGAGTACGGGTAACAATACAGTTCATTTAAAAATCATATAAAAAAGAGTATCCTAATACTCAAACTAATGCCATACAAATCTTATTGGACAATTTCCTATCACGCAACACGCTTCATGAAACTAGTGATTATATAAAACCCAAAAGGGGAAAGGAGGGACAAGATCAGAATGGAGAGAAGTACGAACAGAGCAGGGAACTATCTGATGAGCGGTTCCATCTTTCACACTGAAATAGCCAATATCATAATCATTAAACCTAGTTTCGAATCTCATCTTATCATTTGTATAGTAAATGCGATTTCCTTTTGTGTCTGGGAAACCATGGGGTAGCAAACACGCAGAAGAATTAAGTCCAAGCATCAACACATAATCTCCCAAATCATTCACCCTAGACCATCCCTCATTGTTACTAGTATCATCATCTATTCTCTTGAAAATGTCAAATTTAGTGGTCTGATATCCGTCCACATGCCTTACTACCAGTATCACACTATGCTGCGGGGTATGAACCACATACATGTAGTTCAATAAAGGGTGATAGTAGTCCCTGACTCCAATAGGTGGTGTTGCCTTACTCACCACATTACCTGATTCAGGGTCAATTACACATAACTCCACAAAAGTGTTCACGGCATAGATCATCATCTTCTTATTTCCTGGTCTATGAAATATGGCATCCCGGTATATAGGTTTTGCAGAATTATTGGATCCAATATCGACCCATTTATCACTTCCACCAATTTGACAATAAGCCAACCTGCCAAAAGTACCATAAAGAATCATAGCCCCCGCCATCAAAACTTCATCCTGCTGAGGAGCAGATGACAAAACAATCTTAGTGAAATATGATTTATGCATCCAAGCCTGGGGCCAAACAGCAGTGTGATACCCATCACCAATTTCATGAATGCGTTCCTTGACGGTGTATTCCTTGTTATGATTTTCTGGGTCGTAGAGAATTATCTCTGGAACTGTTGATACCGGTGGAAGTAGTCCGCTGACCTGAGCTCTTGTGAATGGATTGAGCATTTCAATTTCTCCATCACTAATTCCAATGGTGACCAACCAATCCCCATAAGACCCTCTGACCACCTTATTGCGCACACCCTCCACCATTTTGGAGGGATACAGTTTCTCCTCCCCAACACTATAGAAAAGATTTCCCTCATGGACAAACCCCACCCATAGATTTTTTAAATGCTTTGGATACTTTGGGAGTTTAAGTTCCCATTCTTTACAAACTGCTCGCATCCTAATATAGTCATCATAATGATCAACATGCTTACCCACTGCATGCAATAAGTCGATATGAAGCTCAGCCCAAGCATCATCATCAACATCTTTATTCCTCCGTTTACTCATCATCATGCTAGTCCTTACCAATTAAAAACGATATTAACAGAAAACAAATGTTAATCACCTCAAGAACAAAACAGTACTTTTTTACAACTAACAATATGTCAATATTACTGAGAAAAATATACTTTGATCTCATTGCTAAGTTACTAACTAGTAACAAACTAACAATACAAAATCACAAAATTAGTCATACTAAATGTTTAAACAATTAAAGCCCATATTTGTTTCAAATGTGAAGTATTTGTTGACTTTGTGTGACAGTACTGTGCAAACGGAAGATTCAAGTGACATATACACTATTAAATTTAAACTATGGTTGAATTGCATTCGAAGAATTAAATTAAAAAAAACTCAACCATTAAATTTTCATATAAAAATGGGGTTTTATATAGATTAATAACATCCTCATGTCAGCACATACCCATAGTTTGCAACTGATAAAGAACAGAAACCAAAATAATGGGGACAAAGTGAGGCATAGATAGGGGCATAAGGCACCCCAAAATGATGAACCCAAGATCAATTTCTAACTACTACAGTAAGATCCTGTCCCTCTTTGAATAACACCACACCGTATCAGGCAGACTATGTATTAAAATGTGGGGTTCCGTTTTCAAATAAAATTATCTTATAATCCGTGTGCTCATTAGAGTTTCAGTCAGTCGTAAGAGTACTCGAAATTGATAAATAATGATATTTTTAATTGAACTGATTTCAATCACATACCAAACCAAAGAAACCGAACCGGACTAGACTTAAACAATTGTTAAAAAAGAAGATATACAACATATATTTGTCAAACCAAATCAGACTTAAACATTTTACATTACTCATCATTATCAGTACCCCAGTGCCGCAAAAGCTCCCACCTACGGTGGGGTAAGGGGGTCGGATGTATGCAGTCTTACACATGTACTAAAGTACAAAGAGACTGTTTCTGGATGACCCATAGTGAAAATCGCTTCCGAAATTGCATGGATTGACTGCTACTTCATAACAAAGAAGCGCAGACAGTTTAGTGACTCATTTTGCTTTATTCTATCATATTCTCAAGCCAAAAAATAGTGAGACTTTGGCTCCATTGTAAATGATGGAAAAGCCATACTAAATTACTAAGCCATAAACTATTAGTCCAATCAATAAGTTATCCATATTTTATATTCTGCTTGTAGCCAGAAGAGTTACTTAATTCTGTCTATTCTCAATTTACCCCTCTCAACTAAAGTGTTGTAGCCCCAGAGCATCCAAGTGCATATTTTTTAAAAAAGGAACAGGAAAAATATTCGAAAAAAGAAATGTAAACAGAGTCTAAAAAGTCAATTGTACTATTGTACTATAATGTCAAAATAAGTAAAATTTTAATAAATAATAATAACAAGTAAATCTAAAACCAAAGTAAAGAAACGATTTAAATAATTTAATTTCTAATTTGGAGGCAGAAATCACAAGTCCTACAACTACAACCTAAACAGTAAAAACTGATCGCATAAAACAAAAGTTCTTAAACACATTATAAACTTACAGTCTTACACACTTACACTGACATATTCAATTTATTCAATTTAGGGAAAAGGTGTAAATAGACCCATGTACTAACCAAAAAAGGTCAAATAAGTCCTTATTTAGAAGGCTTTGTCCGGCCGTCGCCATTTGGAGTGGTTCCCGGTGGAATTTTTTGATGAAATTTTTTGAGCATCTTATTTATTAAGTCTAGTTTACTCATACCAAATTTCAGCTAAAACTTCAATCGGGAAGGCATTCAAATGAATTCCTGAAAATAACTGGGCAGTTAGAAGCGCAGTTATCTTATTTGACCTTTTTTGGTTAGTACATGGGCCTATTTGCACCTTTTCCCTTCAATTTATTACGGAGTATTTAGCAACACCATAGTCAATACTTATAACAAAATTCACGAATCATATACAATAATATAAATTATTAAATTATTTAAGAGGCCAAGAGGATGGCGTACCGGAATGGCGCGCAGCCTCAACTGTCGCTGAATCGCCGGTGTTTCGTGCCGGCGGAGCGGCGGGCTGAGTGGCTGATTCGAGAATTAAGATTGTAGACAACGTTTCGACGGAGTTAAGGATGGTCGTATGTCCCTAGTTTTTACTTTGGCGTGTAAGGATGTTTTCTTGGACGGAAATTTGCTGGTCTGGTGAGTCTGGTCTGGTCTGAACTGGTTTGGTTTGGTCTGTTTAAGTTTTGTCTGGTCTGGTCTGGGACTGAAAACAGTCCAAAAGAAAACATCCTAATTTGACGATCTAGTCTTGTCTGAATTGGTCTAGTCTGGTAATGTCTGGATTTTTTGTATTTTTATAACAATCCAAATCTAGTCCGACTTGGTCTGGTCTGGGACAAATTACAATCAAAATAAAAACATCATTATTCAATATTTAAAAGTTTATTACATTTTCGTAAATCTTTCATTTAAATATATTTAGTTATCCTTTTTTACTAAATTTTTATCTTCTTTTTTCCACCTATTCACCTTCTCACTTACTTTTTCTATATTATTCATTACGCCTACTATTTCCCTTTAAGTGTATTAATTTTTTAAATACATAGAGTAGGACTCTGTCAAAAAACTATAATAAGATTTGGGTCGGAGTTTTTTTTAGGGTTAATTTGAGTTTGCACCCCATTATATTGGTCAAATTAGACTTTGCATTCGGATTTTAAAAGCTTTGTATTTGCATCTCAACCTCGTATGAAAAGATAAAAACACTCATCCATTAACAATTTTGTTGGTTGTCAACGTATTCTTGATCAAGGAACATTTTTCTCTTCTCATACGAGTCGGGAGAAAATATAAAGTTTTTTACAAATGGGGTGCAAAGTCCATCACTTTTTTGGGGGGCGATAAGGGTCATATTGGACACTATGATTATATCTGAATCTCATATTAGATATTAAGGTTTCAAATGAACCAAATTAGACATTATGGCTACATTTGTATTTCTTATTGGACACCAAGTTTCAAATGTATCAAATTTAACATTATTTGATCATTTTTTGACCGGCAGCAAAGATTTTTTCACATTTAAAAGCAACAAGTATTTTGTTTTCCCTTTGTTTTATGCACCTAAAAAATAATTATAAATTAATTGATATATTTAGATTTAGAATATATAATTAGATATTTGAATTAAAAAAATTATTATAATGTAATCGAATGTATTTGTCGGACGAGGTGTAATTTTTTGCGCCTCGCCTCGTGGCGTCGCGATGCACTTAAGTGTTTGGAGTATTTCGTTTCAGATATTTTTGCACGACAAGCGTCTCTTTTTGGGCCTTCAGGCATTTTGCGGGTCTCTGGATCAAGATATAAAGTACTCATTGGCCTTGCTTTCCTGGTCTTTCAGTACGGGGATCGATTTCACACTAAATATTGTTCCTCTATCAATCATTTAGATATGTATATGAAGTAATTATTTGATTGAGGTGTATTGTTTGCCACTTTTGGGCTTAGTGACGTGTGCAGCCGATAGCGACACTCGATCTAGATACGTTGTGCCCCGGTCATCAAATAAAAATGACCAGGGGCGGAGAGGATCCATATGAAATCTGAATCATCAAATAAAGATGCTCGATGGATTGGAGCTTGGCTCGCACCAATTTTAGGGGCTTTTGGATTCACCCCTGTTATCAAATAAAGGTGACCGATGGTAGGTCGAGGAGCCCGTTTAGAATCCAAATCATCAAAGAACGGGAAAAATATTCGAGCAAAGAAATGTTAACAGAGTCTAAAAAGTCAATCGCACTTTGCGGTCTTTTACTTTAGCAAATTTATCAATAAGGGAATTAATATCTATTGACTATTGTACTATAATGTCAAAGTATGTAATATTTTAATAAATAATAGGAAAAACTAGCAAATAGACTCTCGAACTAATCAAAAAAGTGCAAATCACCCCTTAAATAGGAGGTTTTGTTCGACCGTCATCATTTGCGCAGTTCCCGGTGGAATTTTTTGATGAAATATTTTGAGCATCTTCTTAATTAAATCTAGTTTACTCATACCAAATTTTAGCTAAAAAGTCAACCGACAAGGCAGTCAAATGATTTTCTGAAATATACTGCGCTGTTTTACTGCACAG